AGGGGAGCATTATATCAACCTTGGACATCTGCTAGCCTTATCAGTGGCATATGAAAAACGATATGTTTTATAGAAAAACAAAAACTTTTGAAATCCCCTATAAAAACACCTCCGTGTAAAAAGACCTCGCCAAGTAGGCGGTCGTTGCGAATCCCAATTTTGGAAAAAAAAAAAAAGTATTTAGATTCACATTATGCTTCTACCTACAAAAAATTCTAAAATCAAAGTACAAAACCAAGTGCATACGTCGGGAAGTATCTACTTCTTATATAATGTGGTATTAGCTTATAATTCTTTTTTCATTTATGAACTTTAATACCTTCACTAGTTTCATGTTATTACTGCAAACCATATTTAAGTTTAATAATGGTCATTTTTTATTATGTGTAACGTTAAGTGATTTCTTATCGAGCTGGATGTTGGCAGGTTCGTGCAAAAAAATTGCACAACACTGACATTGGGCAGACCGCGAAGGTCATGAAATTGATCGCATGTTATTAGTCCACAAAATCCTAACACAGCCTTATAGCCTGTATAGTTGCGCGTGTTCTGCACAATTAATTTATCGACGTGCTATCCATTTACAACGATTTCAGTCAAGAGGACCTTATCCATAGTCAAATGTTAAATATATAAAAATAATTTTGTTTTATGTAAAACACGAACCCGCCAAGTAGTACTCGATAAGAAATCACTTATCATTGTACATAATGAAAAATGACGATTATTTAACTTAAATGTAATTTGCACTAATAACATAAAACTAATGAAGACATTAAAGTTCGTAAATGAAAAAAAGAATGATAAACTAATGCCAGATTATATAAGAAGCAGATACTTCCCGTCGTATGTACTTGACTTTGTGCTTTGATTGTAGTATTTTTTGTAAGTAGAAGCATAACCTGAATCAAAATACTTTTTCTTTTCAAAATGGGGATTCGCAATGACCATGTACTTAGCGAGGTTTTTTTACATGGAGATGTTTTTATAAGGCATTAGAACCTATTGTGGATCTATTGCGAATCCGTTGTGGACATGCGTCGAGCTTCGTAGGACCTACCGTGGACTGAAAATTGACTTGCTACGAACGTGAAGCGGCCCCGATAGATTACTAAACGGATCTCCTCTGGACTCGCTGCAGGCTTGCGTAAATTTCAAATCTGGCCTGTTGCGGATCCGTTTCGTCCTCGTTCCGGATTTACAATGTACGCGTCCGCGGTACGTCTGGAGCGCGTCAGTACGGCGATTTTATCGGACCAAAAATTTCAACTCGAGTATTCGATTGAAACATTGTTTTACTTAGTCTAGACCGGAACCAAAATAGCATCGTGCTCTTTCATTTAGAACAGTATATAGGGTGTCTCAGAACTCGGAATCATCCTTAAAACTAGTGAGTGTTGGCGATGTTTGGAGTTGGAAATTTCTTTACCATTTTTCCCTAAAGTGATTATTGACTGATTTATTAATTGCTAAAGTTAACTATTTCCAGACGTGCGATTCAAACTTGACAGGGTCACTCGGGGGTCCAGGACTTTTAGACCGTGCGGTTCCTAACGTTAGAGTTCTTATGTAATTTAATATTTTTATTTTCAGTTGATAATTGATAACAATGTAGCGTAATTTTCATGTTTGAATATTCGCATGTGATCGATCTGTGAGGCCTCTACCGGGTTGTCCGAGTAATCTCTCCGGTGCTACGATTTCGGTGGTATCGGAAGGCCAGCGTTCGCTCTCTCTACCGACAACCTTCGTCCGGTGCGCATCGTTAGGAAGGACTGAGCCGTCCAAGGGTTCCAGGATGGAGCATAAGAGAAGAACGTTCGTTGCTGCCCATACGTGACCACCCTTTCATCCTCCTGCGACGGGATACACAACCTTCTCGACCGCATCGAGTGCAGTGAATCCCCTGGATTGAGGCCAGTCAAATTTAGAGAGACTTATATTTTCTGATTCGAAATATTCTAATTTAAGTGAGCATCTGTATTTCGCTAGCCCTATCGTATATTCGTTTATTTCGTTTCCCGACTTGTTAAGAGAATTAGTAAAGAAAGACAGAGTAAGAAAATAACATTACAACAATAATTATAATTTAAATAATAAAACATGAATAAATAACCAATTGCTCGTTATACTACTTACAGTATTTATTATGGAAATTAACAAATTAATGAAACAATTTGAGAATTATTAAAGCTTTAATACTTAATTTATTTGTAATTAACATTAATTGTTTAATTTGCATATTATTTATTAACCTCGATAAGAGGTCCTGTTTATAGACACCAAATAACAATACATAGTTTTCAGAACCAGTACACACGAAGAGGAAACTTTAATGTGCACATACACTTTATTTTTTAAAACAAAAACAATAGAAAAATTGTTGATCCATCATCTTTTCCTTCATCTCTTTCCCTTTCAGTCCCACTGTCTTTCCGATAATGCTACATCAGTTTATTATTTAATTAATTACAAATTATTAAACTCATTAATATACAATAAAAACATTCACAATTTATTATCATATAGATATTTTATGCATTTCATTTATTAATTTTTAAATTATTCTCTGATCAAATTAATAATTGTTTAAATAAATAGTAATTAAGTGAAACATTTAACATTAATTACAAATAATGTAAACAATGAAACTTCAATCATTCTCAAACTGTTTCATTAATAATTAATGAATTACTAATGAATTAAATCAATATTTCGTTTACTCAGTGGCATTAAGGGCGCTCACCACTCCAGCGATTTTGCAGGGTCTCACGGGGACAACGATTCCGAACATATTTCTAAACCGATCCAGCTTAACGAGTGCTCATATCGAAGATGAAATGTTGACCTGTGTTTATATGGGAGCGATTTTTGATAAGTGGTCATTTTCATATAAAAAAGTGCAACGATATAATTTCAATGCCCTTTTACCTAGGAAGGAGGTGCTTGATCGAAAATCGCTTCCATATAAACACACGTCAACATTTTATCTTTAAAACGAGCACTCGTTGAGCTCAATCGGTTGAGAAATACGCTCAAAATCGTTGTCCCCGTGGAGCACTTTTTTCAGGATTTTCGAGTTTCTCGCGAGGAATTTGGGCATTCCTTAGCAATCGTTGCCTAGAGTCGGCAGACTCTAGGCGGAGCGTCCAACTGGCGTGTGCGTGCGGCCGGAGGTCACACACGTTTCGGCGCCTAGTCCAGAGGCGTCTAGCCGTTGTGTGAGTCCTATACGTGCAAGATACGTACACATTTTTCGCCCGTTGCTAAACACCGCCCATTATGCGCCGCGTCTCCCTCATCCGAGCGAGAAAGTACGCTTTGGTTACCTCCCACCGAATTCGATGCTAATGCCATCTAGCGGTGGAAGTCATCGTCCCCACTTTGGTGGTGAACGCCGTTAACCCTTTCGCTAAGACGGGTGACTATAGTCCCCGGCCACAAAACGCCAACTTCATACGAACTGAATCCCGCAATAGTGGTTACACTTTTGTCACGGCTTCCCGTTCTATGGGAGGGATTCCGCAGAGAACCCCGCCTTACCGAAAAGGTTAAATCAGTTAATTGACTTGATTTAATTTAATGTTGCTTTCATTAATTTATTTATTTCCTTAATAAATACCATAACTAGTAGTTACATGCAAAATTTTAATTATTTGTATTTTATTATTGAAATTATATTTATTTTTATTTCAACTGATTGCCGACTGAGAATAAGAAGATCAAATTAAGTAAGAACTAACGTAAGGGCTGCAACTTTAGCAACTAATAACTCGGTCGATAATCACTTTAAGAAAAAATACTTCAAACATCGCCATTTCCTATCAGTTTCAGGGTTACTACGAGTTCTGGGATATCTTATATAGTTCTTGAAAACTAAGATGTGGAAAAAAGAAGTTTCATGATCGCCGCACAACAATATACTTCACTCTATTAATCGAAAAACGTGCATTTTCCCCTGATAAAGGCAAAAGAAGAGTCTTATAAACTTCCATGATGAGATAAAGGTAACCCGCATACTGCACTAGATTCTAGAGAGCAAATTCAGTTCGCATTGAGTCCGACAAATGTTACAGGTTGTCACTCTACAGTAGATTATGACATGTAGAGTATGTCATTCCGTACAATACTCTGTGTAATACATAGCTGTTAACATGAATACAAATGTTGGTTAACTGTTTCAGTTGGCATATCAGTCAGAGAAACTTTTTTACCGACGTTGATTACATTTCTCGCCGAATTTCACGTCACCTTAAACTGAATTCGCAAATGTCTTACAAACGTTACAATCCTAATATAAAAAAATTACTTATAATCGTTTATTATAATTTCAATTAACGTAAAAATATTATGTTAAAGTACACGCTTCTTCTCGACTAGCATTATACCAACGCATTGAAAACCTGATTCGCTGGTAAACATTTATTTACTATACTATATACTCGCAACATGAATATAACGTGCATTCTACTATTTTGTATTTAGTGGGTGTCAATTTTATTATTTTATTATACTAATATTTATGTATTTCTAAAAGCGTGATTCATATTTCATTGCATGTTTTGTCAATAAATTCATCTTGGTACGCATTCCTACGTGCGTTTTGCCATATTATGGAAGTAAAATCAAAGTGGTCGAGTTATTGACAGATCAAAATACGGAAAACAAAGAAGCCTTCATTGGTCATAACGAAGAGAGTGCTTTGGTACACTGGAACTGACAAAATCAGTGTCTACGAATCAACCTCAATTAGTTAAATTTAGTGCTCAAATTACATGCCCAATTACTACAATTCAATTCAACTGCGTGCTTGATTTACGCAATTAAACGGAAAAAGTTATCTCCGCACAAGGAAAAAACAAACATAGCAACAAAACATTACGAGATACTCAAGCTAAAGAGGTAACTGCGAATTCAACCTAATGGAATGAAATCGATTGAAAAACATACAGGCAATTGAACATAAGAAGTAGCAGAAGGAGGAGGGGTGACCAACTCACCGAGCGGTGTCTACGGTGTATTTTGAAGGACGACCGGTGGCTGTTTTGACGAGTTAGCGAGCCATGTCTCACCTGCTGCGTCCAGAGTACACACACTAATTATACGTAGGTCCTTCTTTCTTAATTCAATTCAAGAATGCGTTTACTTCAACCACTATTTGATCTTAAGGTGATGTGAAAGTGGCATCTGAGGGGTAAAATCGTTTATCAAACATTACCCCGAACTGGGTGTACTGAATTATTTGAAATCTTACCACGTGAATATGGTAGTCTTAAAGAAGGTCCTGACATGCATGGAATTTCATTTTTTATAACAAAGTTTAATTTATCATGGACTAGAATCAACATGACGTCATCCATGCATTTTGTGAATATTTTACGCTTTTTCATGGCTCAGAATTGAAAATGAAGACTTTCAGGACCTAACTATGGAATACTATTGTTGTCGAATGTTACACTTTAGAGTGCTATTGTTGTTGAATATCATACAGTCAGATGGGAAGATATGAAAGAAAGCTTTATAAACGATTGCAAGAGAATACACGTTCCGTAGATAACGCATGCTTGTAAAGTCAGAGTTTAGTAGCAGTTAAATGCAACAGATGGCGCCGTGATCCATGAATTCAAAGGATTGAGTTTGACTTCGACCTCTGTATGATCATACTCCTGAAACGACATTTGGAGTATGTCGTTTTAGTAGGATGATTATTTTGTAGAATGCTCAATGTAGAACGACACAGCGGTCAACGTAAATATAAGTGTCGACATGGCACCCTGTTTCAGATAGTATCTCAATTAAAAGAATTCATTTTTGCTGGCGTTGATTAAATTCTTCGGCGTCTTTCACATCACCTTAATAGTTATATCAAGTACATAAATTGATCGCTTTGTAGCTTATTTTATTTGCGCTCCATCTATCAACACGTATCGCTAAAGAGGTGCACAAGCAATGATTTTTTCAAAGTGACGTCCATGTTTAAGTAATTTATACAACTTCAAATTTGTAGAGAATCTCAACATCCATAGAGTATTATGTTACACTTATCGGCCAAAGCAACTCCCGGTGGGTTAAAGTCAAAAACGTAAAATATGTTTTATGCCAATGATAATGCAACAGTTTGTGTACAAATAATTTCATAAGATCAAGAAATGCCTAAAAGTTCCAACAAGATCATTCGGATATTAGTACAGTTCTATGTAACTACGTAAGATTAAATATTGTAACTTTTTGCAGTCGTAGCGCATTTGGACTGGCATATATTTTATGAGGCATAATCCCAACTGACAATCGCAAAGAGTTAAGGGCGTTCACCATATCAACAATTTGCCTGTGTTTCGTGGGGACAGCAATTGCGAACGTATTTTTGAATCGATCGAGTCGATCATGGGCCCGCTTTAAGATGATATGCGGCATAAGAAGCATCAATATATTTATAAAACTTTCCTTCGAATCGGGTCCATCGAATCATTTGAAACTTTATTGCGTGGTTATGGAGGTCCTATTGAAAGTTCTGAAATTCATGAAATTTTAATTAAAAAGAATTTTTATTCATCCCAGACTAGATACAAAATGGCTCTGCCAGCACGTATTTATGATATTTTACGCCCTTTGAAAGCTTAGAATAAAAAGTGTAGACTTTTAGGTTGTAGGAGCAACTATTTAGAAAACTGTGGTAATTAAACATTACCACATATCATTATAGATTTATGTAGAAAACATCGAGAAGTTTTATAATTGAGTGGAATAAAATTCTCAGATGTTTCGCGAGCAATATGTACTTTGTAAGTGTCCGTAGAGCAAAAATGTTACTACTAAATATAGCAAATGGATCGATTAGAGTTTTAAAAATCATGAATCCAAGGGATTTCTTGAGTTTCACTTCGATCCGTTTATAATCATTCTACTGCAATGACATATGCAGTACTTCATTTCGTACAATTCTCAGGATGGAGTCTAACAGAGGTTACTACGGATATATATCTCGGCAACGTAACGTGGCAACTTGTGTTATTACTCGCGTATACAAAATGGCGTTACCGCCAAAAAGGATGTGAATAAATTTTATTTTTTCACGTCGATTAAATTTCTTGCCGTCTTCCGTGGAATCTTACAGATAAAGAATAGACGTGTGTTTACATGGGAGTGATTTTCAAAAAGTGGTCATTTTAATATAAAAATGCAACGTAATTTGTAAACACTTTTAACTAGGAAAGAACCGATTTTTCGAAAATCGCTCCCATTTGAATATATGACAATATTTTATCTTTAAAACGAATATTCATTGAATTCAATTCCTTTGCAAATACGTTCAAAATCGTTGTCCCCATAAAGCATCTTTCGGGTTCCTCGCTCGCGTTTTGGGGCTTTCTTAGCAACCGTTGTCGAATCTAGGCGGGGCATCCAACTTGCGAGTATATGCATTCATGTGTCGACACCCGCAAGGCGCCTAGACCGCAGCTGTCTAGCAGTGGCGTGAGTCCTACACTTGCAGGACGATGCATACATTATTCAACCGTCGCTAGTCACCGCCGATTACAAGTTGCGTTTCATTGATCTGAGCGAGAAAGTACATTTTGGCCAGTTAAAGATTTTAAGCTTCCGCGATCTGAGTTGTTCCTTAATCCTTTGCACTCAAGAGGTGACTCTCGGTTACCATTTGGTTTGATGCGGAATCCCGATCGGCAACAATGTTTGTATATATGTTTGGACGATTTGACGAAATGTAGAATTATACCCCTTGTCAATTAATACTAAACCTACAGATACTTCATGTATATCTGTTACAGTGAAACACCGAAATCTGAAGAATGTCGACTTTGACCGGTGAATGTCAACATTCACATAGCCGCTTCGTGTATGTCCAAAATATTTGCTAAATACCTTTATTTCTGACTTACACCGGTAAATGTTGACATTCACCGGTGTGTGATGTTGACACACACTGGAGAGGGTCCAAATGTACAACAATGTAATGAAATATTCGATCTTTCACCGACGTATTTGGTATCTGTTGACATTCACCGGTGAAAGTCGACATTCTCCAATTTCGGTCATTCACAGTAACATCTATTCCTACCGCGACCGGTCAAATGACCGGTCTTTAAAACAACTTATATTTCTTAATATAGAATGAAGATAATAGTCAATTTGTTAGTGGAAAATATTGTTTCTTCTATTTAGAAGTAAATAATTTACATTTTATTCGTTTTTACCGCACTGTTTACAAATAGTCTTCTCGATTGCACATTTTCTACATACGTATTTTTTACATTTTAGACAGATTTTGTTAGTCTTATTATCATTGCAATATCTTATCTGGCATGTTTTCCATTCACGTGAACCTATACTTATATTTGTGTTTGGTGTTACTTGATCTTATTTATCTAGCTGTTGCTCCATTTGATGTTCCGTGGCTAGTTCTTCTCCCAATTGAAATAAAAAAGCTTGCCCCGCAATTTCTTCTCCCGTGGTTTCTTTATATAAAACCTATGCATTTAACCACGTGCGCTATAAAGACGTGCCACGTACGTCGAGATGCTTTTGTTCCAAAACTGCCAGCGACATGTATGCCACGTCGTTAGGCATTTATCGCAGAAACAAAATCGACGTGTCCGGCACGTCGGCTAACAGTTGGATCGTTCATTATTCGAGCTACAGTTCCAGAGTGCACGACATCGCGTAGCGTCATCGATATCTTGGAAATATTTCAGAATCGATAGGGTATGTTGTACGGATGTTATACCGCATGTTATATTGTAGAGCGCGGCACGGCAACCGAAAATTAAATCGTAGCGCAAGTGGTTAACCGGGCTAAGTCGAGGATATTGAAAAGTGCCTGTAAAGGCCATCTCCGAGATTTAGAATTTACCGTGTATTTTCTGGTCATTTGGTCGGTCACATCAACATCGAATTTCGTGCTATTACATAGTCTAATTGTCTCCGGTATCCGGGCATCATTTTCTTTGACTTCTACGGAGTTATGTATTGAACTAAGAATCAGTATTTTTTTTGTTGGGTTTAGCCTTATAAATTGTCAGACTGCAATTATTTGAACGATATAATATTGATGAGAAACGTGTCATATTGTCGTTTTTCTGTTTCGCCAACTTTGGTAGCTCCCTTCTATTGGCGCGAATTGTTCCAACCACCGTAGTTTTCTTTTCTAATAGTAAAGTCGCTATCGACACGCTTGTCAAAAAATTGTCCATAGTTATATTTCTTCCACATCCTGTATACGGTTCTACTAATTTCAGAGTGACAAATTCCCTAAGCTGAACTGAAGGTTTTCTCCTCTCATTAGTTTTTTCCAAATATGGAAAGCCGTTTATTATATATTTGCTGTTTACATCGGATGCTAACCAGAATTTGATACCAAATTTGTCCGGTTTATAGGGCATGTATTGAGTGAATCTACGCCTTGCTTTTGTTGGAAACAACTGTTCATCGATAGTAATATATGGTTCTGGTTTATAACAGTTTTGACTGTTCTCAATAAATTTACACCAAATTTCAGAAATCAAAGCGAATTTCTCGGTTGGTAAGCGTTGACTTCGTTGATTTCTGTTATCAAATCGAATAAACCTCATAATTTCTGTAAAGTCTTTCTGCTCATATTGTTTGCGAGAAATGCCGGGCCTCATTTTTTGTTCCATAGAAATGATGTCTATATTTTTTGCCTCATATGCGCCTTATACATACAGGAGTGCAATAAATGCATATAACTTTGCAGCAGATAGATCCCACGTAGATCCTAACACTCGAAATGCCTCTGTCTCCGGTCATGCTCTAATATGTTCGATTATGTTATGTCCAATAATCAGAGAAAATGTCGTCCTAACTTTACCTTTCGTAATATTTCGTTTACTACGCCCTGTCGGGCCTGATGTTTCCCGAATAAATATTATAAATCGGTGCTCTTCCAGTATTAGACCCTTCTTTTCCCTCTTCCAAACAGTTTCGTCCATAGCAGTACCGATTACCTCTTCTTAATTTTCACGTTCGGAACTAACTAAAAATCTCCTTTTATGTCCTTTACGCACGTTCAAAATATTCTCTTTGTTCCCATCGGTGT